AAACCCTAAACCCTAAACCCTAGACCCCTGGGGTAGAACACGGCAGCAGCAGCACCAGTAGCTTTGATACGAGGGTTTAGGGTTTAGGGTTTAGAAGGACCTCAATCTTCTTGTGGAGAGGTAAAGAGCTGTCCACGCCGCTGGGGAGATAAGAATACTCGAACCTGCGCAACAAAACACTTCTAGGGTTTAGGGTTTAGGGTTTAGGGTTTAGGGTTTACAGGCGAAGCATAGACAGCCATGGTTCAAGGCTAAAACCCTAAACCCTCAATTACGAGAGACAGTCCCAGACAAACGGAGACGGACGGAGGAGATGGTGGTTTGGGGTAGGGTTTCGAGCTAGGGTTTAGTTTAGTAAGCGTGAGGGTTTAGCTCTGGCGAGGGTTTACAATTAGGGTTTAGGATTAGGGTTTAGAATTAGGGTTTACCTCGGGCCCCAGTGAGACCAGTCTGTAGATATCACGAACACTGTGTCCTGCGTCGCCGCACGCAACTCCCCCCCCAGCAAGCTGGTTGCTACCTAGCTAGCTAGCTAGCTAGCTAGCTAGCTNTCGCCGCACGCAACTCCCCCCCCAGCAAGCTGGTTGCTACCTAGCTAGCTAGCTAGCTAGCTAGCTAGCTAGCTAGCCGGCTAGCTAGCTAGCCGCCTGGCTAGGTGGCTACCTATTCAGCTCTCTAACAAACGTGCACACAACTCGGTTGCTAGCTAGCCAGGTATTCAGCCCGTGGTACTCGGACTGGCACATCGCTAGCTAGCTAGACAGCTAGCTAGACAGCAAGCTAGACAGCTAGCTATACAGCTAGCTAGCTAGCTAGGCAGTAAGCTAGCTAGCTAGCTAGCCAGCTAGCTAGCTAGACAACAAGCGAGTTAGCTAGCCAGGTGGCTAGCTAGCTAGCTAGCTAGCTAGCTAGCCAGTAAGCTAGCTGGGAAGGAGTACCCACCGGATCCATGAAGAAGGGAGCTAGGGTCTCCGCTGCAGCACAACCAAGACGCACACCTAAACCCTAAACCCTAAACCCTAAACCCTAAACGCTAAACCCTAAAACCTGATCCTTGGTGCCATCCTCGCACTCGTCAGGAGACGATGCAGACGTATATACTTGCTACCGCCCTAGCTAGCTAGCTAGCTAGCTAGCTAGCTAGCTAGCTAGCTAGCTGTTTTAACTACCTACATAGCTAGCTGTCTAGCTAGCCGAGTCTGATGAAGCTCCCCAGCCGTTCCAGCATGTGGCCTTTCCTTTGGCTTTGCTTTTGAGGGTTTGGGGTTTAGGGTGTGTGTGTTCTAGGGTTTGTGGTTTAGGGTTTAGGGTTTAGGGTTTAAGAGTTGTTTTCTAGGGTTTAGAATGAGGGTTTAGCCTCACCATACATTGGGAGATCCTCATCAGCTACCGTCCCCACATAGATGGGCAGCAAGAGCGCTCCTCTGTACCACAAACCCTAAACCCTAAACCCTAAACCCTAAACCCTAAACCCTGATCCTTAACCCTTAAACCCTTTCCCTCAAACCCTAAACCCTAGATAGTAGAGTTGTATAAACGAGGGTTTCTCGTCGCTTTCTCCCGCTGCAACTGTAGGCCCCAAACCCTAGACCCTAGAAGCCCCTAAACCCTAAACCCTAGACCCTAAACCCTAAACCCTAAACCCTAAACCCTCAAGAAACTCACTCTGGCAAAACTCTCTTCAGAAAGGGAACCTGCACCGCAATTGAATGCTCGTGGATCTCCTGCTCCGCGGGAGCGGTATCATACAGGCCCGTAGAAAACAGTGCGCTCAGGGCTGCAACAAACCCTAAACCCTAAACCCTAAACCCTAAACCCTAAACCCTAAACCCTTGATAATACCCCCCGCCCCCAATGCTTTCAGCTAGTACGCAGCATGTGAGGTTAAGGGTGAGCTCTATTGCAACGCATAGAAGTATACGGTCTGACGACGAGGGTTTGAGCATCATCTGTTGAGGGTTTAGGGTTTAGGGTTTATGAGGGTTTAGGGTTTACCCTCTCTGTCTAGAGGGACCGAACCAATGGGAGAACCAAAAGCACTAAACTCCTCCGGCGGCAGCAGCAGAG